ACTCTTTCCTTTCAAATTCTAGATCCCTGGAGGAGATGTTTTGGAATATATCAATTTTAATAGAGAAAAAAAAAAAGGCAATAGTAGGGCAGATATGAATCAACAGGCACTGACTTTGTATTTGAGAAGTCATGTATAAATTTTTGGACCTGTATACTAGAGATTTTTGAGAAGGATCCATTTAACTAAAATGTCTGCAGTAACACTTGTATAAGTATTACAAGCTCTTAAGAGAGTAACAGCTTAACAGAAACCTATTTGTACATGATTGTGCTTCAGCCAACCAACACTGGGAGAAACAATCAAAAAGAACTAATAATATCCAAATGTCAATCATATGCATGTAGAACTTGTAAAGAATTTTTAGAATTACTGATTTAAAACTGCCAAGTTAAAACTGAAACAAGCTCTAAAATTCTTGCAGAAAGGGCAATGGACTAAGATTTTGCTTTCTATGTTTTAAATTAAAATTAATACCATATCTCCAATTACAAGTTCTTAAATAAAGAAAATAGTGTTATAAGACAAACCCTGGTCATGATGTAGTTGTGCAGGCTGTTAACAAAATGCATAAGTTTCACTCTTAAGAGGAACATGCGATGTATTTGTTGTTTTATACTTTCTGTTTGCAGTCCAAAGAGAGGAAGCATTCTTTGTTGTAATGAAGTTCCATCCTTAACCTGGGGGCTTTCTGCAGCACAGACTAGTTCTAAAACGAAAAGGCAAGATCATTATATGAAAGTTTATAACAACAAACTGTAGCTAAATGTCATTTAAAACTACAATTAGTTTTTTTTATTCTACACACGATACTGAAGCAAGATTTTTCTTGCAATTCTGATGTTATTACAATACAGCAACAATATACTGAATAGTTTGACAGTATATGTACCATGCAATTTGATAAATAATAGGAAATGCTATTTAAGAGTTGAAGATTATGTGAAAGGATAAAAAAAATCTACTTTAAAAGTAAATATGTATACTATCTCCACAAAGGGGAAAAAACTTAAGCACAAACCCATACCCATAAAGTTTAAACAATAGAAAACTCATTCTTTTCCTAGTGTGTACTTAACTGATGTACAAGCTACAGATGAATCCACACACTTTCTATTTTGTTTTTCTAGGATGTGAAGTGTGTATCCATCTTATAAGGGACAGGAAGAGTGTAAACATTAACCTAGTGAAGGAGAAACTAAGTGATTTCCTACAATCCCCAAATTTTTAAACTGTAGCTTAGAGAATATATTCCAAACTTTCTAGCTTACTGTTTCAGACTCAAAAAGAAGTATCTCGGTTTTTTTACTTCTTTGCAAGATATTACTCACAAAAACTTGGACTACACATAAAGCAAAACATTAGGGTGTGGTAGACAGAGCTTCTTTCAATAGCCAGGTCTGAAGAATGAGGTTAACAAGTTTCCAATATAGCTAACTAGACCTGAATCAAGGAGACAAATGGAATGCAATGGAGTAAGTAATGTTGTCCCTGAGGCTGAAAAGAGGAGAAGAACATACCCTGGTTAATAGATCTGATTTGTGAAGCTAATAGCTATTAATATTTTGCAGAATGAATGGAAATTCTAAGCTGTCTATATTATTTACTGCAGAAAGCAGCAGACTGCTTATATCCTTAGACCACAGAACAAGTTTTTGTAGTATCTCATTGAAGAAGTTTCTTACCATCAAATCGTAAAACATCTAGACTATACTTGGCCCACTTTATTTGCAGTAAGAGCAGAAAAACTTGATTGTAAATTTTTTGGCACTCTAAGCTTATAACTATATCCACAGGCCAAGGAATCTAAGAAAAAGAGAGGATAATCAAAACAGAAAATTAACTCGCTTTAATACAACATTTCAAATCTCTTCTACAGTAATAACTACAGCAAAATGAACCCACTACCTTGTAACTCAGTATCAAACCATCTAAGGTGTGGACAGGGAGTTTCTTCTTCACTGTATCAACACTTTCAAATGATATAGACAACCTATGCAAACAAATAAGAGGTTTAATTGGTGATAATCCATTTTAAACCAGTGGTTAGCTTAATTATTATTTTTTTTTTTTCTTATTGTGAAACACCACTCATCTGATTTAACTGGGGGGATTTCAGTAGAAGGGGTGACAACAGCTCAAAACTTCATTAAAACAGATTCTTGTAATGACTGTAATAGTTAATACTGCACTATGCAAGTATATTAGTATAGGTAAGAGTGAAAGAAACATAACTAAACTATGTTTGGCAAGATTTTGCATTTTACCTTGAACTGTCCTCTGGATAGCGTTGGCCAACTGCTTCTTGAAGTTGAACATTTAAGAAAGCAACATTCTGCCAAGTTTCCTTTTCTCTAATTTTGTCAAAAATAGAAGTATAGAAGTCATACATGGTGTCTCCAGCTTCAAGTAAGAAAAAGTTTCTCATCGCCTGCAAATATTCTACAAGCCTAAAGAGGGAACAAAAACATAACATTTCGTCACTCCTAACCATGCAAGTGATATCAAATGCAACTGTTACAGATTTAAAAAAAATTCTTAAAAAAAAATCTTCACAAGAATACTGAACACGTAATGATTCCACAGTAAATTCTTTGCTTAATCCCCAGACAACCTTCACATACCTTCAAAAAACTCCCAAATTACGAAGCCATTTTTTCTTGTAAGCTTGAACAGAAATATTCATGGTATTCGACTATTTTAGGGGCTAGGCAATAAAAATAAAATAGCTTGCAAGTCCTGAAATCTTGTCCTTTTCCCTAAAGAGAACCTAAGGAAGGATATGCAATTTCAGGGAGTGTTCTGTCTCAGAGGAGACTTTAATATGGAGGCCCAGATAACTGTGATAGGGATTTTTCTTTTTGGATAAAGTGGGAAGAAGAGTAAAGCTACAAATCTGACAAGAACCATGATTATAAATACATCATTTCAGACAGATTAAAAGCACGCTGACTTCAGACCACCTGAAAGGTAAAATGAATAGGCCATTTTACTTTGAGTAATACTAAAATACCACATATTGCTTTGTCTTATTTTATAGTATCATAGCTGAATTTCATATTAAACAAATATATTCTGGCTTCCGAACATTTGTCTTCCAGTTTCAAATGACAACACTATTAAAAGTACTGTTTGAAACAATTTCCCTGACTGAACACAAAGGATAGCCTTGATCTTGATTTAGTTAGACCAAGTTTGAACTCAGGATTCTACCATGTTACATCCCTTTTTCCTCCTTAATAATTATTTTATTGTTAATTATCAAGTTGGTGTAGAAAGACAGCACAGAATTCCTGCTTTTAGCATATGGCATACCACTGCTAATTAAAAAAAAGTGTTAAGGAAAAACAAATCTACTTTCTTACCTATAATCCTTCTTTAATGTTTGCATTAGATTTCCACAGCATTCCAAATATTGCTTGTCTATGTGGGGATAAAGGCAAGACCTCAATGTCAGTTCAAAAGTCTGGCAGGTCACTGATTCTGAAGATCTATCCACACAAACATCCCCACCAGTGAACTTCTCATGAAAGTCATTCTGTTCCAAATATAATCTTCAAAGTAAAGCAAACTACTTAGAGAAGAACATTCACAATTCATACAATATATAACACAAAAATGTCATACCTTCAAAGATTTTAATCAGATTTGACACTCTACAGAAGTTATAAAAGCTGTTTCATAACTACAGTACATATGAAGGCTGTTAACTGATCCTCCATACTGTTTCTGTGTGATCAAGAATATCAAAAAAGATGGCATACTGTAATCACTTAATTGCTCTAGGAATAATTCTGAAAAAAGCCATCAAGTTTAAACACTATACAGCTTAATAAACAAACTAATTACCGTAAATGCTTTACAACTACAGCCTGCATATATAGCAGTCAAATGAACTTCACAAGGAAAGAAAACAAAAATTACAGAATCAAAGTAAAAAACTGAACAACAAAAGCAAAATCCAACAACAAAATAACAAACAAAACCCACAACCACCCACACAGAATTGGTTTAATGGAGCTTAAATATGGGATCCCTATACATTATTGGTTTTCTTTAACTAAGCACAAGGGTAGTGTTTACTTAGCTTGTCACTAAATTGTTGGTGCTGCTCTTTATTCTGTGCTTGATTCTTTGCAGCAGCAGTAAAATATTGGTCTGCCACATGTCACCAAGCACAACACTTCTCTCAACAACACAGCAGGAAGATCATTCATTTACCTGGCAAAATTAATCGCTAGCAGTGGGTCATGGACATCATCTAGTTCCAGGTGTCTTTCTGCTATAGACTGCATCTTTATCAGGCTCTGCTTTGTGGCCTGCTGTTCTGTAATAATATCTGGAACAGACTCTTCCCCATGCCGCAGACGAGACTGCACTGATTCCAAGAAAAGTGTATACAAACTCTTTCGTTCAGCATCTAAACTGGGCAATACATTCCAGGGTAAGATTGTGTTCTGAGAGAAAACAGTCTGAACTACAAGAACTTCCCATCATCCCAACATTTATAAGTTTTAACATATTAAATTTAGGCTACTATTCAGGAAAATAGTCAAATATATATGAATATTGCTAAAACAGTAAGACTAGTCCAATACCTGAAGTTAGGCTTATGTTCAAATGGATTGCTGAATGGGTGTCTGGAATATTAAATATTTCTGGGACTGTTAAGAGAACCTCCTCCTTTAGGTGCAAAGGCACTTAATTCTTTGCATCTGAAACAAACCTGCAGTATTGGCTAGATTAGATCATATTCTCCCAGCAAAGGAGGAAGTAAGCCTAAGAATTTCCCAAAATAATTTAGCCATCTCTACTGCTAAACATCTAGAAAAAGCAAAAAAAAAAAAGTACTTTGTTTAAAAAAAACAACCAAAAACCAATACACTGCTGTGTTGTATCACTCAAGATAATATCAAAGTATCCAAATATCTTTCACCTAATTATTAATAAGCTGTTATTTTTTTAAAAAAACAGTTCCACCTGCTAGCTCAGAATTATTCAATCCCTTAGTGATGGAAAGAAAAAAATTAATTAAAACAAAACAGCTTTACTATTAGAACATACAAGCTGTTTTCATTTGACTAATTAAAAAAAAACTGTTTTGCAAGCCCGTGGAAACAAGTTTATGAAAAATTTAAAGGAATTAAAAGCAAAGGGAACCCCCATCTTTAATTGCTTTTCTCTTTTCACTTATTTGCACTGGAAGAGGAAGTGTTTTCAATCAGACCTCCAGTTGCCAATCACGATGCTAACATTCAACAGGGAGCATTATATTATTCCCACACCATAGAAACACTAGTACAAAAAAATACATCCATAGCTTTTGATACCTGAAGGCACAACAGTCCACACACTGACATCTCACCTCTTGATGCAGCCTGCTTTGGAGAGCCACCTTTGCATTGAAGATTCTTCAACAGCTGCATGGATTTTCCAGCCATAATTATTTGCTTCAGCACAGGTTTCAGAAAAGACACCATAGTGTGCTGCCTGCTTGAAGGGGCCTGATCACTGCCAGAACTGGCACTGGCATTATCACTCATCTTCTCTTCATTCTCTGTCTTCTCTGACACACTATATAATGTGTAGGTAGCATACCAAAAATCTCTGTGATTAACTGGAACATTTTTGTTTCTGCAAAGAAATAAAAAGCTGTTGAGTATTTTCTTTTTCAGAAGATGAAACTTCCTTACTAGAAGACGCATATCATCTTTGCTCTATGCTTTACCTTTCTTTCAGAATATTTAAAAACTTTCAAAACTATATAAAACATGGTCATCCATATTATAAACTATCTAGATGCCTCAGAAAGGATGATAGCTTTAGTAAGATAAAGAATCAGCTCACAGGAGATAAAAACAATTGTATAATCAAATAAACCCCCAAAAGAAGGCAAATAGAGTAGTTATAATTAAATTTGTCTGGGAAGTTAACTATTCCCAATGCCATCCATCCATCCTTAATAACATAATGATTACTGATTCACTTGCAGATTTATTTAATACCCACAATGAAGCAAATGCTACTAGGAAAACTAAAAAAATTTAGAGTAGGTGAAACTCAATTCTTAGTTTATTTTGCTCTCTTATACTGTTTAAATCAAATACACAGTTTGGTCTTTGGAGTCAGATGGAAAACAACCTATATTAGATAATTAAAATCAAGCTCAGATGTAAGTTGAAATCCAAGTCTTTGGTAGCACTGAAAACACAACTGAAGAACTACAAAAAGAACATTCAAGCAGGACACAATAAGGATGTTAGAGACATAAGGTAATAAATATTTACTACAATAGGACTAAAGCTGTTCTCTTCATGCTCACCTTTAGCCACCTTAACAAACAGAACTTCAGTTAATTGTAGCAGATAGGAAGGAAACTGATCTGTAATTATGAGCCTAAAGCCTAAGCTCTATTTTCACTTTTCAATCCAAGCTGTCAAAAAAGTGACCAGCAAAAAGTACTATGCAATCAGAAGAGAAATTAACAGCTCAAATATCTTTTAGGCTATGGGCACGTAATTCAAGACACCATATTAACTTCTACTACAGGTCAGAAGCAATGGACATTCCAATTCTAAATAGCGTTGTATTTCTAATAACTACACATTAGAAGAACAGAAGTAATTTTTGTTATTTTTCTAAACACCTTGATTTTTAAAAATAGTTACTTGCTTTTTATCAAAAGTCAACACAGAGTCAGACTGCTGATTATTTATTATAGACGAGAAAATTAAAACAATTTATTTCTGTTCCAGAACAGTATCTAGTAGGATTACATATCTAATGCAATTACCCTAGAGGTGAGTCTCAGACAAGTAACAAAATTATTATTAAAAAGCTATTTCTATTAAAGTAGGCTAACAACTGTGAACATCTATTTTTATTGTCCCCCTCTGTTTCCTAGGTTCTACAGCAGGATTTGTATTCATACTTGCACAGTATTATTGGTGTCCATACTAGCATCCCTACCTCTGAATGATAAACTCCTTTGCAGGATCAAACAAATTACCATGGACTATCCACTCATCCACTGTCTGTAAGTATGGCCTCACAGTTTCAACCCAGAGTGAGAACAGAAGGGATACCTGAATTGAAAGAAAGCAAGAAAAATACCACGGAAGTGTCATGGCTTTATATTGGGCACCAAAAGCAATATGGCAAAGCCCAACCTCTAGTTGTGAAATTATAGTTTGTAAGATACAAATGACTACACTTTGGGATTTTTAAAGATGACAAGTTCAACTAATAATTACAGCTTTAGTAGTTTTAATGGAGTACTCACTGTGCAAACTTCCTCACGTTACTTTTTGCCATTGCAGTTAGTTTAGTTTTCTTCCCTCTCTAATATCTCTTAAGAAATAACTGATAGCCATAAATCATTCTGTGGTTTTATAACACAGAAAACAGGAAAACAAAAGGACATATACTGTATTTTCACTAGCATAATCAACAAATTACTGTCAAAACCCAACCCCTTGTACTTCAGCATTAACTGAATTATACAGCTGTAGAAACAGGAGGGAAAAGTATTTCAAAGCTCCCTCTTTCATGACAGCCTCCTGGCTCCCGATTCTCCTCAGTTCTAAAAACGTGCTGATCTTCTCATCACCCTGATTTTGCCCAGGTTGAGTGAACTCACATCAGAAAACAGAAATGCATTACAGTTATCAAATTTGTCCTCAATCCTTGGTAGCTGAAGGCTAGTGTACTCCATCACCATAAATAAATTTACATTACTAAACATTCCAAGGGGTTGTTCTATTAAGGAAGGAATTATTTCCCCTACCGTTTGCTCAGATGCTTCTCCCACACTGTCATATTCCAGAATAGCTTTGTAGAGAGTGTTAAGCAGATGAGATGCTCGTACAACATTTCTAGTGTCGGGCGGCACTTCTGCTACTCCTGTGCTGAAAACTTTGTGAAGTACCTTCAGCTGTGCCAGTCGGGGAGACAACTTATCTATTACTATTGAAAGTGTGACTGTTTTATCTGGAAAAAAATCCAAAGATGCATAAAGGTAAGATCCAACAGAAAAATCAAACTTTGTCAATGTTATTAATGAGGTTTTAAAATGTAACATGGCATCTTTCATAGCTTCAACATGTATCTGCGTAATGCTTTTGCATGTTTCCCTCCTACGAAAATCTCCTTGTGTGCCCTCTATAGTAAATTTCACTTGCACTGTACCTTTGTTGATTATACATTTTTCAATTTCAGTAAGTTCTTCTTTAAAGCTGATGAAATATTTATACAAGGCCCACATAAAAGCTTGATAGGTTCTGAACGGGGCTTCAGTTGTTTTCTTCGGAGTGGAAACTGTTCCATGCATTATGTTTTCTGGGCTGTGTCCCATCACTTCATCAATAAACTTCTGCAGTCTAAACACAACTTGACCATATGCTGCTATCTGCTCCAATACAGATCTCAGGCAATTCTAGAAAAAATATGTACTTTTTAGAATCTAGTAAGAATGTGTATTTTATAAAGCCTAAAAATTAAATTGCAAGATACTTCTATGAATTAAAACACAATAAAATTCTGCCATGTCTATCACTTTATCACATTCTCACATATGGGAACAGCCCACTTAGTTTTATTAAGTCAGATATGTTTTGACTAAATTAAGAACAATTGTGGAAACATGGACATTCAGGAACTACTTACATGGGTTAAATGAGTTACAATAATATCATTCCGCACAGCCACTTTTCCATCATTCAGCTGAAATATAAAAAGCTTTTTCACTCCTGAAAGTAGCCTTGAAAAGAAACAAAGAGAGCAGTAATTTTTCTCCCCTTAATGGACTCTCAAGTATATAATTAACAAAATAATTAACTCTCCTTTTCCTAAAAGCTTCTTTTCTTCAAATAAAAGTGGACCACCCATCAGCTATGATGCTAGTGGTACTGCTAAGTTGTTGCTAAAACAAGAACAATAAAACCCTGGCATCAAGTAAACAACTCCTCAAGTTCCTTTCCAGCTGAGATAATTTTCAGCTATAGAATGAGTCAAACCTACTTTCTAAAACTAGACATCATTAAAACTCCATGGGGGTAGAATACAAACAAGTTGGTTCTTCTTAACAGTGAGACTGCTACCAGGAAGTAGTAAGCTGCTTTCTTCTTTGTGAATCTGAATGGTTAACACATATAAGCAGCATTTTTATTGTCAGGAATGGTGCAAGCTAAAAGCTCAATAATTATCCCTTCTTCAGACATAACTTCCAAGATAAATCATAGAATGGTCCCTCATTTCCTTGAGGGAAACAGTAAATGTTAAGATGCAATCTTTTTGACGTTGCTCTTACCAAAGAGTTTCCCGTATAAGCTGAGTTTCAGTGACTAGTATTCTCTCTTCTGGCACATATAAAGGATCATTTGTGTACAAGTGGTGGTCCCTTAGAAAACAGGAAATGAAAACAATTTAGTGGCTGAAATAACTGAATCACTTGAAAGAATAAAGCAGTAATCATTAGACTTAGGTTTTTTTCTAAATATATCTGAGTAGATTCAATGTTCATGGGGGCAGCTTAACTACATAAACAAAAGCAGAGTTTGTTTTCATATTGTTAAGCAAAATACTACGGAAAGCCTTCAAATGTCACCTATAACTACATAGCAAGACAAGCAATTCAGTAGCAAATACCTGAACTACATAATCTGGGATGTTCTGGGGTTTGTGTTGCCTTCTTTTAAAAATTCTTAATCCTTGATTGTTATATTATTTCCCATTAAATGTTGTGAAAAATATACAGTTAAGAGTTACTTTCTGTTAAAATATTAAGCTTAAAAGCAGAATATCAAATTCCCTAACCCATATGAAAAAATTCACACTTCAGCCCAAAAATCTACTTAAGACATGGAAACTTTCACAGTCAGCTAAGAACGTTTCTTTATGAACTTGCATTACACAATTCTTTGTAAAACTTTCATAATATTTTTCATATTTTAGTGAAGTACAGAATAATTATTTACATTTTTAGTATTTTGACTAATTAATATAATCGGTGGCAAAATGTATGTACTCATGTTCAAAATTCAAAAGTCCAAATTAAGTCATTCTGGTTATATATTGTACATATAATATATATCAGACATCTGCTAACAATACTGCAACAGAAACAATATTGCTTTCTTTGTTACTGATTTCCTAATATTCACTGTAAATTTTGTTTCAGAACTGGCTGGATAACCAACTGACACTAAATGAATTCAACTCCTTAATTAAGAAATTAATTACATTAAGGAACTAAAGACAAATCTGATTATCTGTATTAATGCAGTACTGATACATCAGAATTTTGGACAGAGGGAAGAATCAAGCTTCTTTTAATCACCACTTCCTTTGATGTTCCTTCCAAAACCACAGCAGATCATAGTGATGTACTGATTTATGTTCCCACCATGCACAAAATTTGTTTTTAAGACTGATTTTGTAAGGCAGAGACCAAAACCAAAGAAAAAGTTAAGCTTTAGGGAAGTCCCCACTTCCAGGACCACTTACAATGCACCTATATTAGTTCCTCAGAAACCTTTTAACGGTCAACCCAAATAAAATTCAACAATCAGATTTGCTTCTTTGAAAAAGGAAAACCCCCTCTCTGACAGGACAAAAATAATACAAAATAAATAAAAGGAAGGAATCTATTAATAGAAAAAACAGCTAATTTGTTCATCTTATACATTTATATTATTTTAATTCTGCTTTTAACTAAATCAGTAGTAACTACACTCCCTTTATGCTTAATAAAGGGAGTATAATTATGTAGCATTCCATGCCAGTAAGGAATATGTAAGTGATGCCATTTTCTTACCAGACTGCAGCTAGGTTGGAATGCAAGTGCAAACTGTGTGCAAAGCGAGGAGCTCTTCCTGTCCAGTACTGAGGAACTACATGCTGCTCCAGCCAGCTACGGACATCAGGTTCACCTACTGTGGAAACACATGACAGCCTGAAGGAATTTTATTTATTCAGAAAATCCTAATAAAACACAGGCAAAAGTTATCAATAAGCCTATCTGTGCAGCTGCAGAATCACAGACCTTTTTTGGATAAGTTAAAATTTACAAGTATTTACCCTTTACTGCACTCGCACACATGATATTGTAATGCACAAATTAATTCACAGAAATGCCTCATCTCCTAGAAGCTGCAAAAGTCCTAAAAATTAAACCTAAAGATTTATGTTGTTTCAGTTCGTGCTCAGAAAATGTGCTTCTTTCTGTCTCAGGCAATCCACAAACATATACAAAACAAAGCTGACTTGAAAAATAAACTTCCAAATATCACCGATTTTGTCACTATGCTTCTTTTTTAATATACATTCAGTACATTAACTATAAAGCTTTTTTCCTTAAATGTGGCTACCCAGAAAACTTAGCCTAATCCCAGTTAGTTACTGCTTATAAAACATATGAATATTATGCAGCCTTCTTATGCAAGTCACCCTCTATCCTACAACATTCTATGCCAAAATATACAGATACAGTTAATTCTCCCTGAAACTATTCAAGACTAAGCCACTAGTGTTTTAATTACATTAAACTATTTTTTTTTCCAAAAATACTTCATATCCAAAACTGAATCAACCATTTCTGTTAGCAAATAAATTGTTTCAGCATTCTGATACTTAGTTATAAAAGTCTACATTATAGGCAAAGAATCAGATGCTGCATATACTGAGTAAGTTTTTGTTTCTATATTGGAATATCTATGTCTGTTTCTACAGAAATGAAGAGCACTATTTTCCTTTACCAACAAAAGAAATCAGGTAAAATCTTCTGTATTGCTTCTTTACTATTACTAATAAAACAAGCAGCAGTGAACAATAACGTGCACCTTAAAACTACAATTATAGGTCTAAAACATAATACTTAATTAAAGAATAATAAATAAAATTGCATTAGCCTGCAAATGTTTAGTATGTATGACTATATAAGAAGAATTACAGTTTATTCTAACCTTTCCAGGAAGCATTAGGTACTGTTTTCTTATTTGGATCTTGATCTTCTAAGGGTGTTCTGTCTACCTGAATACCCGAGTCCTCCCTGCTCAAAGGCTGAGTGTCTTCCTCCTCTTCACTTTCTCCAGACCAATCCTATTGAGTGCAACAAAACCCAGCACACTTCAGTTGTACACAGCAGACTGATCAATATTCCCTTCCTATTCAAGCCAAACAAAGACTAACACAACTGTCTACCAGAGACTAGTTTATGTTAGACATAACATTAATAGCCAGACAAATGAGAGAACTGGGAAAGATCACAAAACTACAGCAAGTTCTATTTAGGGGTTTGGAGAACAGTCTGTCTTCTCCCCCCACAGGGTCAGCAGAAAGAGCCCATGTATTTGCAGGACTAAGCCAAAACCTGGTGAAGAACAAAAGCATTTGTATTACTGTTACTCTGCTTGGGTCTGTGTGTATTTCATGGTACTAAGCAAGAAGCAATGTATTAAAGAATCCTGCAAGCATCAATATGCAGGGCATACAAACCAGGGCAACTCAGCCAGGTTTCTAACATTCTGTAAACTAGTCTATACAGTTTGTTGGGCTTTTTGCTTTAAGAATTACTTACTGGTGTATCTATGCCTAGGCCAAAGTAAATTTCTTCTCCTTCCATCAAATACTTTCCCCAATCAAACTCTTCTTCCTTTTCTAAAAGTATAAATATAAAAATAGTAAGCAACTCTGACTTTTTTTCTAAAAACATTTCCAAAGCTATAATACCTTGTTACTCTAAAAGAAAAGGCATTCACCACGTTCACCAGGTTACACCACTGTTTCTTTAACAAGGTTATACACTTTCAACATGACATGTAAATTGTGACATATCAACCATGTATATTCCTTCATTCTCAATTCTGTTGCTTATACATTCAAAATACGCAACATAACGTGCCATCATCACATTTATGTGTATCATGTTACAGTATCCTACACTTCAATCCTGGAAAAACATGCAAGAATGCAACACATCACTTATTGTGACTAGTCCCATTTAGCTCAGTGGAAACATTCCAAGTGTATAATTTACATATGCACAAGGATCCCAGACTGTAAACAACATCAAGCAAGAACTGTCTTACTCTTTGAAAAAAGACACCACACATCCATGACGTGATGTGTAATACTTTAAAAATAACAATCACACTTACAATAGATTATATCTTAAACATGAAGCTTACTCAACTGTAATTAGTGCTGTTTGAGATAACCTCTTCATATTCACATCCCTGGAATGGGCTGAAAGTGCATTCAAAACACCGCCGAGGGAATGTGCAGAGATCATTCAAAAAGGAATCTTAAGATGCAAGATTTTCTTTAGGTTAGTCTGAAATATTCTTCTTTCAGTCTATGACACAATACTGTGAACAAATGGGGGATGGTATCCACTCAAACTTAAGCACAAGCCTCATTTTTAGGCACTGGGTGAAACAGTCCTACTTTAGAAAGCAGGTAGCTGGGAACTCGCTCTGGAAACCTTCAAAGGTTCCGCCCTTTCCTTGACTATATAGGGAATATAGGAATTGACATCCCTAAAGCCATTTCAGAAGACCTCCTATTGAGGTGCAAGACAGAGACTGAGGACAGAAACCTGTTGTCTGTCTCTGAGCATGTAAGCACTGCTGACATGGTGGAGAACATTAGTAAGTAATAGCAGTGCAAGTCAAAAAATTGCTCCCGAGGTACTTTGGTGGCTGGAAAACTTAATTAGGCAGCGTAACAGAAATGGGGGGGGAACAATTTGCAGGCTATTTTGAATTAATAAATCATAAAAAGACAATCAATAAAGTACCTTGAAGTAAAGGAGATGATAAAATGGAGAGGAAAAATGTTCTTATCAGATTGCACTAATGGATTGTATCTTTTATTAGCAATATAAAAATCTTGTAAACTTACCCACTTTGACTCTTGGTTTTTCGACATAGGTGGTGTTGGATGGAGAATCAGACAAACACAACAGAAGAGACAGTATGGAATAGTGTGTATCTGTCTTTAAAACACATTTTTTAAAAAAGCAAGTCAGTAAGCGGTCTAAAAGATTTTGATTAGGAATAAGCTCAGCCTATTATCTGCAGAAATGCTCCTCATTAGTCCCCATTACTCAGCCATTAATTACAAAAATAACATCTGCAACATGACATTGAATGTTATCCATTCCCTTTTGCCTACTAATTAGTCAATCAATATACAAATACTTCCAAAGCAGCCACAGCATAAGCTGCCTTTTACTGAGCTGATAGTCAGAGAATAAGGAAAATAGATAAAAGGAATCCTGAAGTACTGTGAAAGTAGGAAGTCAACAGAGGACAAGCGATAATGGACATGTAGCTACTTTGCTAAAATCATTGTATTTTAGCATCATCTTCACATTATCTTTTCTCATCTGAAAATCTACACAAAGCATGAAGGATCTATCTTTAACTCCTGTATTGCACTAATGCAGTTGTAAACCAGAAGTCTTCAACCAGGTTAGAATATTGTGTCAACACTGGTATGCTGCAGAGATGTGTGTTATGGCCTACTCCCTAATACCTGCTTACGGCACAAGCACTTCTTACTAAGGAAAGCTTTTTCTTTGGCCTGATTCTAATTTTCCAAAGCTCTTCAGTAGACCATTTAATACCCAGACACACAGAGATTCTGCTGTCTACAACCTGTGTTTTGACACACACATACACAGACTTACAAAGCTCTTTGGAAATAAGATCCACTGGTATTTTAAAAAGAAAAAACAACCTCAATTTCTGATAAAGAAGCATCACACTCATCTAGTATATATGGTATGTAATACATTCCTACCAAACATTACTGACAGTACAAGAGTTTGTCAAAGAACACCAGCAATCATTGACAGAATCACATGAACTGGTGTTTCATTTACCAGTCATAAAACTGATACTCAGCCTTCCCGGTTATGTGCCACTCCTAAGAATTAATGCAGTTTAGCTTCCCAAATACAAGAGATCATCTACCTTCAGCTATATCCCAGTTGCACTTTCAAACAATGAGGGAAAAAATAAAGGTCTCTCAAGTCTTAGGATTCTTGCAACAGTCAAGTATTAAGTGCTTGCTTGGGTATTTGTTTTGGTTTATTTGGTTTTAATTTTATTTGACTCTCTAAACAAGCACAACTAAAACGGTGCTTTTTCAACAATGTGGAGCACAGTACAATAACTGCAATAACTGACATCTGTAAGCTGTTGAATGTTACAGGGTTTTCCCCACGTATTAGATGAAACTTCAAGCAGTGCAAAGGAAGGAATCATCAGTTCAATGACAAGTGAAACAGACTACAATTCAGAACACACTGTTCTATTAAAGAATATCATTTTATGGAGAACCACCTCTTAAAACACAAGTTTAAATTTTCCAATAGCAGGAATTTTCACTTTTCAAAGATCAAATTCATTATTAAACTACCACACTAGAAAGATTATTAAGTGTGACAACTTCTGGGATACCCATCTAGTCCATAAACTAAACTGATTTGATACAAAGTGTTTCGAAGTTGAAACACATGCATAGTCTCCAATAAGAAAGCTACAGGGCAGGAGCACTCCATTTGGAAATACTAAAATTAGAACGTGCAGATGCATTACCTAGAGTAAAAAAAAATGGGGCAAGTACTGCTCAGTTAGCTGTTTGAGAACAGACAGAACATTAGTACAATATTGCCATAATAACATCTGCTCTGCAATGAGAATATGTCATTTATGTCCCGAAAATGTTTGGTGAAACACTGACGACAAACACATTTTTTAAATAAATGAGGGAAACTAAGGAATACAGACCTAATAATCCATGACCTGAGCAACAATCGCAAACCCTGCTAAGTCACCTGAAATTTCCAACACAACATTACAACTGAAGCCCCAATTGCGAAAAATAAATGAAAGAGTGCTGGGAAAAAAGAACAAACAATTTGCAACATACATACCTTAGTTTCTTCTGTACTTGGGAGTGGTGAGTTCAGAAATTTTTCTGTTAGTCTTTTCCAGCTTGCAGCTTTTCCAAGGTCAGAATGAACTACCAATTTCTCATGTATTCTAATAACAAAAAGAGTATAAAAATTCTTTTAAAAAAGTTAACTAATCCATTATTAACCCACAAGCATAAAACTTACCCTTCTATCGTCCTGTCTACTTTGTGACTGTTCACATCAAGAAAACGGTGAAATCTGTGAAAGAAATCTGTATTAAAATACGTTTAAAAAGGAAGCTTAAGCAAGAAAGAAATAAAGCTGATTTACATGTATGAGGACAATACTACTATTTTAATAATGCATGCTTAATTCAGCAAGAACAGTCAACATCAACAAAATTTAATCTCAATGTCCCTTAGCTCAAGAAGGATTAACTATGTTTGACCCTAAATATAGAAAAATGGGAGGCAGGTTACCTTTAACTAGCACTTTAAGCTGAATGGAAAATTACCACTGAATCAGCAAACTAAGCAATTAAAGTGTGTTGTCAGTTAAGTCAAGTGGAGAAAGGAGATCAAGAAGTGCACTGTCAAAGGCAATGTGTCAAATGCACCAAAATTATCTGGGATTTACATCACAAGGACAGACAAAACAAACACCCACATGGGAAGGCCTCTTAATCCAAATTAAGCTCCTCTATAAATAAAAAAGGGAGCGTGCCTATAAGAAAAGAGCTTAATCAAAATAAAGAAAGATATACCACCAAAAGTAGCATGGATAGGGACACAGTAAGAACTCATGAAAGGTAAGATGAACTTTGCAGAAGAAAGTCGAGTATGAATAAGGTTACAGAGAGTGAAAAACCAGGGAATGGGATGTGCAAGCAGTGAACACGAAGTCAATATACTCTATACGTAGGCCCTCAAAGCCAATCTAGTATTTTGCCTCAGCTTCCAGCAACAACTGTACAGAACACAGGTGGTAAATTCTCATGACCACAGAAAGAAATTAACATTACTGGATATGAATCAGGTTAAGCTAAACAGACCGAACTTGGAAAGACAATCTAAAATCACCTCAATGTTAAAGGAAAGAACTAGGAAATGAAGATGCAAGGCAAGCAGCAAGGACTTTTAGTATGACTGCAGGATGAAGGCAAGCCCACATTAAAGAACTCCAGACCTATTAGCCTTCTTGAATTGTGCGTAAAGCTTTGGAATAAAAGCACAATAAAATGTGCTAATTAACGAGGAAGCTAACATTTAGGTTTAGAAAGATAGCTCATTTAGTTTATTACAGCACATTAGCTTACACAGGAAATCATTCATTCAAATAGAAAATGGTGGTGAACTACAAAAACTGGAAGATTTAGGGGAAAAAAAGACTGGAAAGACAACAATGTAAAAAAATAAAAACAAGGAGTCAAAAAATCTCTGCTGAAAAGAAAAATCAGGTGTAGGGAAGCTATTGGTGAAATTCCTATAGCCTGATATTACTTAAGGCTTTAATTCATGTCCCTAACAACATATGCAAAAAAAAAGTAGATATTTCTTTAGGCAGGATGGGAACATCATGAATAGAAAGGGACTAGCATGCTGCATGGAAAGAAACAAATGAATTTGAGAGCTACAGCATAGAAACATCACCAAATCTAACAACACAAACCACAAATTTCACAAATTTGAAAGGAAAGAGATTTTTCTGCTCTTAAGATCTCACAGTTTGGAAATACAGTATTAGTCAGTCTCAGGCTGAAGCTCCATGAACATTTCTTAGACAACAATTCTGGCATCATAAACCTTCCCAATTAATTTAACTAGGCTCCTCAAAATTAAGCAAAATGGAACTTGTCAGAACACCCGCTACGTGTCATATCCAGCTCTCCCCCACCTTGGATTTACCTTTGCTGTTGACCAGTGGCTATTTGGTTACAAATTTGGTTATTAAATAGAGCCTAACAGCAATTAGGATTCAGGCTGACTTGATCCAACTGCTCATCCCAAGAGATGGACTTAAAATATGTAAGTAGCATTGAGTTTGAATCGATGAGGTGGCTGCTGCATGAAATTAAGCAAGTACATAAGACTCCAAAGAGGAAGCAAGTGGAAATAGATCATAGTAAAATTATCAGCAGACACTGAAACAACTGTGATAACTGAAAAAGAGCAGTATGTACAACTTCAGTATGGACATGTTAGACGGCAGTGCAGCAGAATTAAAGATATACAGATACCACACATGACAGGTCGATGCAGACCACGTTTTTTACAAACTCAGAGAACACCAAACATTATTTTCTCCAGACTGATAACCTTCCATGGAAGCAGCACAGGCCTCTTGGCCAGAACCCTTTATCCTGACTGGGTGGAGTTTTGTTTGCTTGCTCTTTACATACAATTATTACTATTTTTTTTGCTTCCCCCTAAAGAGAATGTCGCGTGGCTAAATAAAAGATGTTGCAAGGCACGTTCTTCACAGATCAGAAGCCCTGGAAGAGCCAGACTGAGAAGGGACGGAGCAACAGCCACGGGCAGGCCCCGCACCCCCGGGGGACACGGCAGGACGGGGCCCTGTCCAACGCCGGCAGCCCCCGGGCACGCTCCCGGTGTGCAGGGCCCGCCCGGCGGCTCCCACCGCCCCTCAGCACACACCGCGGCCTCCCCGGGGCGGCGGGCGCTGACCTCAGGTTGGACCAAGCGAAATTCAGCGCCGTCTGGAACCGGCCGCCGCCCAGCTCCCCTTCCTCC